CGAACAAGCCGGTTTTCGAAAAGGCTTCAGTACCATAGACCAAATACATACCCTGCGTCAGATTGTACAGAAGACTGAAGAGTACAATCTGCCACTTTGCCTGGCGTATGTGGACTATGAGAAAGCCTTTGATTCCGTCGAAATTTGGGCGGTGCTACAGTCCCTTCAGCGGCGCCAGGTTGACTGTCGGTATATTGAAGTGCTGAAGTGTTTATACAGTAGGGCTACGATGGCTATCCGAGTACAGAAACAGAGCTCAAAACCTATCTAACTGCAGAGAGGTGTAAGACAGGGTGACGTTATATAACCGAAACTCTTCACCGCTGCGTTGGAAGACGTTTTCAAGCTACTGGACTGGAAAGGATACGGTATTAATATCAATGGCGAGTACATCACTCACCTTCGATTTGCCGACGATATAGTCCTTATGGCAGAATTGCTGGAGTACTTAAGCACTATGCTCAATGACCTCAATAGTGCCTCCCAACGGATAGGTCTTAAGATGAACATGGACAAAACAAAGATTATGTTTAATGTCCATGTCACACCTATGCCGGTAGTTGTTGGGAGCACTATGCTCGAAGTTGTTGACGAGTACGTTTACCTGGGACAAATAGTCCGACTAGGTAAGTCCAACTTCGACCGAGAGGTCAATCGACGGATTCAACTCGGCTGGGCAGCGTTCGGGAAATTACGACATATCTTCTCGTCAGGTATACCTCAATCTCTAAAAACTAGATTGTACAACCAGTGCGTGTTGCCAGTGATGATTTACGGATCTGAGATGTGGTCCTTCACTGCTGGCCGTATTAGGACGCTCAAGGTCGCTCAGCGAGCTATGGAGAGGGCTATGCTCGGAGTTTCTCTGCGTGATAGACTCAGAAATGAGGATATTCGCAGTAAAACCAGAGTGACCGACATAGCCCAACGGATTAGTAAGCTGAAGTCGCAATGGGCCGGCCATATAGCTCGAAGAACCGATAACCGATGGGGAAGAAAGGTTCTCGAGTGGCAGCCTCGTACCGGTAGGCGTAGTGTAGGGCGACCCCCCACTAGATGGAGTGACGACCTGGTAAGATATGCAGGAAATCGATGGATGCAGGTGGCTCAGGACCGTGCTTTGTGGCATTACTTGGGGGAGGCCTAAGTTCAGCAGTGGACTTGTGAAGGGCTGTAATGATGATGATGATGATGACTATGGTAAAAACTTATAACCAGGTATTGTAGTAGGTCTTTTGGCTATAACATCCACTTACTATTCCTTGAATTGAGTTCTCGATTATCACTCTCACTTACATAAAACCTGTTTTACAGTCTTCCAGTATTTTTTAATTTAAGTTTCTTACTTCATAGATAATTATCGAATATAACTAATTTCACAGATTTTATAGCGTTTAGTTTATATAATTTCACCTATTTTTTAATTATCGACGATTCGCGTGCCTTTAAAATTAAACACGTTCAAGTGCATAAAATTAGTTATTTTAAATGTTATTATTGTTGCGCGCCATAATTATTGCCACTAGCGCCATCTAGTATTGAATGGGAGAACTAGGAGAGCTCTAAGAGACTCCTAAGATCGTCCATGTGGTTCGAATGGCGCGTTATTATAGGGCCGATAACGCTCGGAACAAGCATGTCTTAGGAGGGGGCAGCGTTAAGTACCATTATTGATGCCAAGCGCCATCTAGTATCGAGTGGCAGAACTAGGAGAGCTTGCTAGAAAATTCCATCCTAGAACTTCCCCACTAGCGCCATCTAGTATCGAGTGGAAGAATAGTTTTCTAGAAAATTCTTTGCTAGAACTTTCGCCATTCTACTCCAACATTCTAGATGTTTCAGTGAAAGAGGCCCTATATAAAGGCGTTAAGGACCGCGACCGGGTCAGTATTGAATTGGCTATCCAAGCGAATACTTTGGAGCGAAATGAAGTGAACTAAAGAGTTAAGTGCGATTTATTATTAATGTGTTTTTAGTTTTAATTGGTGTTCGGTAATTAAAATGTCAATTTTGGTAATTCAATCGGCAGTTTTTATTGTCACGAACCCTAAGCTCGTAACATTATTTTAAATTATATTATTATTCCAAATAACAAATAACTGGAACTATATTATAAGTAAAGATGATGACGTCACTGTTTTGATAACCAGCCACAATCAAATATAATAAGGCTAAAATAAATTTCCATATTTCTAAAATTATTTTGTCGGATATAAGGCTCCGGTAAACAATTAAAGACCCTTTTAATGACTTTAGACACCAAGAGCCATCATCGTTCCCCCGTTATTGCATCCCTTGAATATGAATGTCTTAATACGGGTTGTTTTCAACAAGGGTATTTGAAAGTAATATCATAATTTGTAGTTACAGTTATCTCTTATGTAATTAAAAGTCGAACTGTATAACAATTCACGCATTTAAAGATTAACTATCATTATATAATTTCAATAAAATATAGGCAATTTTAATGACATATCTAATTAATTTGAAAAGTATTTTAATTATATAAAAATAGTATTAATTTTATTTTATATTTTATTATATAACAACAAAACGCAACAGTTTATCTAAGCTACATTTTTTTAGAGTTAGAAAACGTAGATATTAAATAGTTTTATTATAACGCGGCGCAGGACCATACCTTGTGGCATTTCTTTGGGGGGACCGTTCAGCAGTGGACTTGTGAAGAGCTGTAATAAAGATACTGATTACGAGTATTACGTGTGATAAAAACATTTATAATTAACGTATACTATCTAAAACTAAAGATACTATAATTACGTGAGACAAATTTTTGGGTTACGAATAAAGTACAGAGTCGTGGCAGCTCAAAGGCCGCGCGAGGCCACATATTTCATAATAAATGCTTAGACCGTTTTAGGACGTAACCTAATGGTTAAGTACAGGGATGCGAGCTCAAAAAATCTAAGATTTGCATCTGCCATTCAGCTACTTTCAGGCAAGAATGTTACTAAGAATGTGTGTAATATAAGTAGCGCTGTTTACCTTGTTCTTCTTAAATAGTGCCCCTGACGGACGTGCGGCGAACCAACATTAATTAACCAGCTTGGTCATCTGGCTTCCTTTGAGGCTGCTAAGCCTGTAGTGATGGTGTACCCACTACTACACACTTTCACGTGGCTGTCGAGAGGGAAACTAAAACAGGAGGTGGACGGCAGCGTCTTCTTGATAATAACTCAAAAAAAAAACCGCGATTGCCAACCTACCCGCCAAGCTTGGCAACTATGGCTCAATCCCCCCATGAGGCAATTTATCGGTGAGGCCTATGTTCAGCATTGGACTTTTATAGGCTATAATAGATTGTTTACTGTGTTAGGTTAAGTATTAACGACAATTTTGTCCGAGTCGACTCCTGATTCTTCGTCCCGTTATGTGTGTACAAAATTCATCTTTATTGTAATAACATGCTATAAGGCAATTTAACGTAGTCCTTAGGAATGACCTGCAACCTCAAATTTGAGATTGCTGTGGATGTCAATGAGCTGCTACATCTAGTACACTTCGGATGACCTGTCATACATTTTCCACAGGTTTTGTTATAATAAAAACGTAATGGCATAAATATGTAGTAGGTATATAAAAGTTACAAGGCATTTTTATTATTATTGGAATAAGGGTGACAAGCGAGCATACAGTCCACACGATGGTAAGTGGACGCTGTGGCCCATAGACACCTAGATCTATCCTCGATTCAGAATCAAAATAACGTAGATGTTTTGTCACCACTATCGACTAAGAATATATAATGTCTCGTCACTCTAAAATATCTTAAAAATATGTCATTTTTTTTAAATTTTCGCAACTTTTCTTTCGTATTGTCGAGTCGTTATATGTATAGGTGCAGGATTCAAACCCACGACTCTTGGCATTGCGAATAAATAGCTATTGTTCTGCCGAACAATCTAGTTACAAACACTTTCATTACTTATCTATCCATAAAATAATAAATTAGAGGTTAAAAAGTACAGAAGAAATGTCACTTGTCAGAAGTTTCCTCAATACCCAAAAGGAAACGTTATATTAATTCAATTTAATTCATTTATTCAGCAAATAGGCCGCCAGGGCCAATAAAAATTGGACTTCCCAACATTTCCTTAACGACTTTGAAAAAAAAGTCACGAAAAGAGAGGAATTCGTTAAAATATCGTAATAGTCCCTTACACTTTGTGAAACAGAACCTTTTCGAATATTTTTAGTACAATGATTCGATTTTTAGTTGGTATTTATGAAAATAATATTTAATCACATATTACAACTCCAAAATATAACACTATTTTCCAAGAAGTTTAACTCCTATCAGTGAAGGAATGTGAACTTAGACCAAATATTATAAAGCTTGATTTTATACGAAATTCATAAAAAGGTTGGTAAAAAGTGTTGGTAGGAGTCGACCGCTGTCCATGAATAACTGTAACACCAGGTGAATCGTAGCTGTGTTGCCGTCCTCTTATAAAAGGAGTAAACTAGTTCCTTGAAGTCCCTAAGTCATTTCGGTACTTTAAAATCACCGGTGGTAAGCTCGAACCTAACGAAATCGACTTAACTTCACGTAGAAGCCGTTTCTAGCATATTAATTTGATATGATAGAATCATCGTAATATATCTGATGACATCATGACATGAAATCGACTTATATACCCAGACGGCTTATATATTATTACCTTATAAAAATCAACGTCAGTTTAGGAAATACTTAAAGATGCTCTCTCTCTCTCTCTCACTCTCTATTCTCTAAATGATAAAAGAAAGGGACAAGAATTGAGATAATTAATTTTTAGTATAAGGGTAAGCGATAAATAGCTATTATATGTAATTCTGTTAATAAATAAAAATACAAAAAAATATATTTTGATTCTACTATCAAAAATAAACTTAACAAGTTTAAAGGGTTATCGAATAACAATAAGACAAGACGCGGTTACCGAAAGTATAAACTGTAGCCATTTGATCAAATCCGTGTAATAATTGATGTAGTATTCTCAAAAGACTGTAGCAGTACGTTCGTACGTAAAAACAACATAGTTTACATTACAACCAATACCTTTATGCATCCCAGTGTGCTTATCTTTGAGTACAGTCAACTCATAAATCTTTCCGAACTCCTCGAACATCGGTCGGAGGTCCTTCTCCTCGAGGTGTCTAGGGATCTGGCCAATGAAAAGCTTGACAGCATCCTTGCCGGCCCCTGGGGGTGCTCCCGTTCGTTCCGAAGGCGTAAGAGGGGAAGATCGTTTGTCTTCGGAAGCATTATGCACTGGAGTCGGAGGGCTAGAACTCACTGCCGATCCTTGACCCGATTGGTTCGTAATAATGAACTGATTGTTCATGAACCCGGGGAACAACATACCCGGGTTGCACAGATTCGAACCCACTAACATGTTTATGTATCACAGAACACAGACTTTTTGACACAATAATAAAATCTAATCACAGTGATATTTGTACTACGTTTTCTTAAGCTATAAATTCGGTTTTTTTAAAGCTTTCGCGGACTGTTTACTTTCAGAGGGCGTAGGGAGGGTTGAGAGAGTGTGCGTGTTTTATGTTTGTGTTAGTATCTCGACACTCTCCCCAAAATGCGTAATGCTATCGATCCTTATAGTAGAGGTTAGCGGCTCAGAGACCTCGTGTATTTCACTCAATGTTTCACACGTGCCACACTATAAACAAGCCGTATGGTTACTCGCGCTGCGTGCATATATTACACCTATATATTTACCTAATCCACACCGCATGTATTTACAAATCTAAATATACACTATGCTATATTAATTTGGCACTAGATTTTGTACGTATATCTATGTGTTTACACTTATAACTAATATAGTAATAGACAACGCTAAATACGTGTAGTTCCTAATGTTTACGCTATGAAGCGCGCACGCGGTATTGTTTACAAACAGAAACCTTCACACACTTTTTAAATATTTTGTACAATAGTAACCAGAAATGTTATAAGGAGCAGTTCACACGAATTTCCCGCGCATTTGTTTGCAGATTGACAAGAAAGCGAATCTGCCGAAACTTAATTTTAAAACACCAAAAACACTTATTATATACACTCGTAAATTAGCACGTGACGACGACAAACGATGACTTTACGCACAAAAGAAACACAAGACGACACGAACTAAATTAGGCAACAAATTTGCCGTGTTCTCGTCTATATGTCTACATGTCCACTAACCTAAAATTCCCTCCGAGTCCCTTCATAGCGTACGCTATGGGGGAGTCTCGGATCTTGATACAGGCCTCCCTTTCGCTCTCCCTCGCATAGAGATATTTAGCTACGCAAGTAAATTCGCTTTGTGTGACGCGGTTGATTATTACGAATTTCTTGTCTCGCGATGTGTTATGCGAGGAATTGTATTGTTAAAGTGTTTAGAACGCGTCTGTACTACATACTTGTCCTTAAAGAGCCTCACAAAGTTAAATTGCCTTAATACTTTTCCTTTGGCATTTTCTTGGTAGCATTACGCAAAGTATTTTATTCAGTATTTCTACTAAAATCGTAAAAAGTTTTTTTTTTCATAAGTGCGTAACTTTCTGAAGGATTTGTAATACTTTTTCTTAGGAATTGATAGCATTATTCAAAGCATTCTATTCAGTATTTCTACAAAGATCGATTTTTTTTTCTTTGGCCTGTAACAGTCTGACGTACGATCTGGGTTTTTGACATATTTATATTTGATGGTACATCCATGGAAGGTCTCAATGTCTATCCCGTTTTTCCTATCGCCTCTAACGAAAAGAGTTAATGAAGTGGGGTAATGGATCTTCTCTGTACAACTGTAAAAATAAGCAGTAACTAAAATACATAAGATATCTAGTACCTAGATATTCCATCAGTACTTATTATCGTTTAATTTAGTATTTTTTTTAATTTAATAAATTAAGTATTATTTATTTATATGTCTCTTTTATTTGCCATTTAATGAAAACAACTTAAGCATTTGTTCAATTGAAGTTGATTTTCATAAAAAGGCCTTATAAAATAAAAATTAATTTAGAATATTTAACTTTTTTCAATTATTAAAAGCGTACCTAACCCACATCAAGAGTTATTTCCGAAAAAAGTACTCACTGAATAATTTATCCAACCAATGCTTAGGATCAGTCATAAAACGAAACGCGAAATTCGGTAAAAAGGTCTTCAATATTTGGTTGGAGTATAATTTAGGCTCCGAAAATATAGAAGGGATGTGCCTCGGCCCTTCCCCTCAATCCGCGCCCCATCTCGGCCCTTACAACCCTGCCGGCGTCAGTTTGGATGATTTTCGCGCGTCTCTTAATGGCTGTTTAGAAAAAATATATCAACAGAAGCACGGAAGGGCTAATAAAGAATTTTTTGTGGCGGGTTAGAAAATTGAAAGTTTACGAGCTCTTTTTTAACAACTGAAATTCGGATAGTGGTTTCTGTTCTGTACATTGATGCATTAGTATATAAGTTAATATGCATTAGTAAATAAATTATTATATTATGTTTTAGTATCGACTTATCATATACATGCGGCCTATTATAATTGCCGAGACATCTATTATATATACAATTGCGCGATTTCGTGTAACCTATGTAATATCTGGCTACTTCCGGGTTCTGGGTTCGAATCAGCCACTCGAAATCGATAGTTTTAGAGTAAATTCGATTGTCTGCTATAGAAGGCAGTAAAGCTATGCTATAGCTCTTACAGAATACTAGCTTAAAATAGCAGCTTAATGCTGATGCATTTCGTATGGCGGAAAGAATCAGAGACCCATTTAGTTGAAAACGAGATTAATCTTAGCCCTCGGTCATAAGGGCCCCATTTGATCTTAATTCGAGAAATGATGTAGATGGCTCGGGGCCACAATACCCGCTTAACATCATGTATATTGTGTATTCTTTTGTCACCTTTACTCTTTAAAAAACTCTGAAGCTTACGGTAGTTTGTAATATAACCATCTCGTATATACCAAATGTAGTTTATGTGGTGTGTGGCGAAAGACAAATCATCACTCCGTTTCGTTACATGAGTACCTTAAGAGGTTACTGGTGTGGTAGTATGTGCGCCTTATGGCTTCTGATAGATGATCTCGTTTACACCAGGCGTAAAATATTCAGACGGCAACGAAAAACAGCGTCTAATGAGTGAAACAGCCCACTTGCAAATGTTGAGATAAAACCGATCATATGGGTCAGCAATATATACTTCACCATCATTATCATTACAGCTCTTCACAAGTCCGCTGGTAAATAAAGGCCTCCCCCTAGGAATACTACAAAGCAAGGTCCTGAGCCACCAAAATCCACCGACTTCCTGCATGTCTTACCAGTTCGTCACTCCATCTAGTGGGGGGCGCCCCACATTTCGCTTACCGGTACGAAGCTGCTACTCAAGAACCTTTCTTCCCCATCGGTTCTTAGAGCATTATAACCAGCCCATTGTTACTTCAGTTTACTAATCCGGTGGGCTATGGCGGCTACTGTGGACCTACTATCCTCATTTCTAAGTTTATTTATTTTATTTATTTATTTATTCTTTATTACATTACTTATTAATATATAAGAATACACGGGCGGACTTAATGCCTTCCCTTCTGAGTGGCATTCTCAGTCAACCCATGGTGTGAATTTGACGTAGGTGTGGCAATATAGAATATAATAAAATAAAAATGAAAATCAACTACGTGATATATACATTTTACTGATATATGAAATAAATAAACTATAGAAATATCTCCTATTTATACATATATACAAACATATACATACATACATATAAATACATATATACATATCAATATATATAATATATAAATATTACATATAAATAACTATGAATATATACGTCTGATAACAGGATAAATGACATGGATGATTCAAGTATGCAGCGTTGTCTTTAAAAAATGATTACGCACCATTTATCAATACCGCTTACTAATAATATTAAGTTTTTTTATTGATAACCAAACTTTTTTATAAAAGTAACCGTCACAACGAGTTATCACCAGGTAATCCACCTATTGATAACTAACTTCTGTGGCCCTGTGGTGAAAAAAACATATTTTATACTTTTATACTTTATAGATATGGGATGATCCAGGATGTATCTGAAATCACAGTGTTTTCCTTATAAAAGAAAGAGTGACAAACAAGTACGCAGTCCACCCTGATAGTAAATGAATAATATTGTCTCTAGGCATCTACGCCCTCGATCAACAATGAAATACAGATAGGTTGTCACACCTGAAAACTACGATGAAATGCTTTGTTACCAGTGAGAAAGGTCTCCGGTTCTCTACAATCACCATATTATTATATATTTTGCGAGCGTGTAACTTCCCTGGTCGAGTTGTTCCATTCTTGCTCCAGCCATTATTTTCTACAGCGTGGCTCTATCACGGTCGTTGTAATCAGTGTGGCTTCCGAACAAAATTAATATCATCCAAGTGAGGTTGAACAGGATAAAAATTAAAACGCACACGTGAAACTGAAATGACATGTAATAGCAGCGATAGATAATCTACCACCTGGGCATGAGATGTTCACGTGATGGAATAGAATTCTGATTGTGATTTCGTGAGTACCTAATGGCCAACAGTTTAAAAGGTCTAATGACGAAGAAGATCAAGACGCTGACAAATAAGGAAAGAAAGATGGATCGCAATGTACAAGTGCGCCGCAATCACGTTCTACATCTTGACACGCACTCACGTGCACTTCTTTTTTCTTTCTTTAACAGTATTTAAAACCTACACAAAACATTCATATGCACATAAAACTAAGTTTCTGGTTGCAAATGACATTTATTGACATTTATATGTATATTATTTGCCGCGAATATGTACTAATAACACTGAACATCATTTACAAAATGTGTCATCCGCAAAGTTCAAAAATGTTATTAAACTAAGTTTGGATAAAAAGGGTTATCATAATATTAAGGAATTTATGGATGATAATAAACCCTGGGGATCGCTACCAAGCTATTTCTAATTTCTTTTGTGTTGTTAGTTTTAAACACGGTTGTAAGCTATTATTTGGAAAAAAAATAGTCCCGCTGGGTAACTTGCTGGTTCTTCCCAGGACAGATGCTTTTTTTGCGAACCAGTGGTAAATAAGAAAGTGAATTAAATAATTATTGTTTATAATCCACAGTTTGCCGTGTAGTGGCGGTTGAGAATATCCACTACCCCATATCTTCCCGTGGGTGTCGTAAGAGGCGACAGAGTGAGACAGGCAGGAGATGGGCAGCAGCATCTTCCTGATAACAACTGTGTTATAATAAAAAACTGCGGTTGCCAACCCGCTCTCCAAGCGTGGCAACTATGGCAAATATCCCCCCATGAATAATGACGGAAAAAAACGGCCCCCAGTCCTCGGCGGCCCCGCTATTCC